GGGGGCGGACCAAAGCACAAAGCGCGCTGTGGCTTCGCAACGGCCTGTGCGAGGGGACGTCGGGGCACGCCCTCTCCTGCCCGGTCCTTGCGGCCTGACGGGCCAACTTCGGCCTGGAGGGGTTGGAGGCACCCGGGCCCTACTTTGGCCAGCCACTCGCCCGGTTCCTTGGCGACCTCTTCGTTCTGGCAGGCCCTGAGCTGCCCTTGACCAGCAACGGTGCGGATGTCGCCGCCGGATTGCCGGAGGAGGGGGCGGCATTATTTTTATAGTTTACTTGTTTTTATTCGGCTTCGCACTCCCATTCGGAGACGGTGGAGGGGTGTGTGTCAAAGAACGCCGGTCGTAAGCTGATTCTCTTCGGCAACATCCCTGCGGAGGCAACGGATGCGGCAAGCGAGCCCGAATTCAACCTCTGCATCCTTGCAGAATCCCGATGGTGCTATGTGTGCCCATGGAATATGTAGAATTTTTCTCTTCTCTGTACGTGTTTTTTTTTTTGCTACTTGACGGTGTCGTTTGCTATGTTGATGATGCGTTGCTTTTTTTCTTGATTTCGTGTTATTCTTCCGTCTGTCCTGCCTTGTCTTTTTCCGTTCGGCATCTGCGATTTTTGTCGTTTGCGCGTGGCAGTGCAGCGGAGCCTGTATTTGTGGATGTTCGCTGGTGGCGAACACAATAACGGGAGGCTGTGGAGGAAAGAGAGGCTTATCCTGAGTTTCCTGCGGCAGCAGCAGAAGACACGTGCAATTGTTTATTTTTAGTTTTTCTATTTATTTTTGTTTATTTATTTATTTATTTTTCTTTTGGTCTGGCAGGTCATACATCGATTATGTTTTTGTTGTTGTTGCTCTTTTTTCCCCCAAAAATTTTAGTCTCTGGCTTGTGTAGTCACAGGTGTGTTCGTGTACGCGTCGCAGCTCCGCACAGACGGCCCCAACGGTGTTGCCCGGACTGCCCCGTTTGTGGTTGGCTCCCCCCTCCTCAGGTGTCCGGGGGTGAGAGGGGGTGCGTGCGGCGCATGGAGAATCCCAAACACTCCGGCGGGCGGAAGTCCTCGAAAAAGTACAGAGCCGAGGCGGATGTGGATGCCTTGGTGGTTGAGCTTCTTTGTCGTATGGCTCTTCACGCCAATGGTGGCGCTGCTCCTGCGTCGCCCGCGCAGGAGGCGGAGAGGGATAGAAAAAACAACGCCTCGCACCTTAAAACAGCCGCAGACGAGAAGGTGCACGTGGCGGTTTCAGGGTTTCCGCAGTTTGAGCACTGTAAAGACACGGAGGCTCGCTCGCTTCTCGCCTACAGGTACCTGAAGGCGAACAACTTCAACCTGGAGGATGCCGTGGCAATGATTCTTGACACCAACAATTTCCGAAACAAACACAGGCTGGATTCCATTATGATATTTCCCTCCCTAATTCCCCTGCGCGGCTTCAACGAGAAGGAAGTATGCAATGCATTACAGCTTCCGACGGCAACGGCAATTGCGCGAGATCCGTGCGGCTGTACAACCTCTTCCGTGGGCGGTCTTCAGGCGGGGTACCTAAATAATCACCCCATTCTTAGACCAATCTTGAATTTAATTAATAGATACTACGCCAACAGCATCCATTACTGCGATAAAGGCGGCCATCCCGCCATGTATGGTAGGTTGGGGCAAGTCAACTTTAGTAAACTGTTCCAGGAATTAAAGCGCATCTCTCCGCTTCGTCAAGGCCCAGAAGACCTCATTCTGCTCTTTCATCTATACAGCAATGAACTTCTCTGGAAGGTAATGCAATACTGCGACGCAAAAAGCAAGCCTCCGGGGACAACGACAAAGATTGGATGGGAAGAAAGTAATAAGACGGCGACCGTGATTATTGATTTGAAAGGAGCAAATATCCTTAATTTTGTTCGTGGTCCGTTTCCAAGAACCCTTCGCGGACTTCTCAATTTGGATCAACGCTATTACCCGGAAATTCTTCATAAATTAGTGCTGGTGAACTGTCCCAAGAGCGTAGCATTTGCTCATTGGCTTTCAAGACCCCTCGCTTCTAGCAAACGCGGCACTCGGCGAAAGATTATGTGCGTGAGCGAGGAAAAGACAGCTTCAGTACTGAAGACGCTGATTGATGAGGACAAGATACCGGCCTTCTTGGGCGGGATGTGCAATTGCAAGGAAGGATGTGTGCCCTTGAATGAATCTTTTGACGGTAGCAGCTCGGTCTCCCCTTCCGTTTTCGGTGGCACGCTCCGGGCATTCTCGCAGGCCGAGAGCGAGCGACCGTTGGAGGAGTTGCTTATTGATGGTCCCGATGTCGAACCTTGCATCGTGGGCCTTGCAACGTTGAAGGAAACCGAAAACGTGGTTGTGCCGGCCCGCCGCAAGCTCACTCTCACGTATGAAATAGGGGCTTTTGAGGACGTCACTTGGGAGTTTGCGGTGGGGCGCGGTAAAATTGGGTTCACTGCCGTCTTCGTGGAGTGCTCCGCGGATGGCCACACCCAAGTCCTAACGCCGTTCGCGACTGTGGCGGAGGCAGCAGACCACTTCTGCCCCAGTACAGCAGGCGAGCTTATCTTGACGTGGGACAACATGAAATCGTTCTTTACCGTGCGAAAACTTCAGCTGCGCGTGCACCGTGGGCCTCCACGACTCAACTCACAAAAGTACGGTGGTGTGCCGCAGTGACGGATAATAAAAAAATGGAGCAGTTAACTGAATGAGTATTTGTCTAATCTTACAAGAAGTAAGGGAAAGGCGATATGCGTACCCTACGTGTTTAATGTTCCTCTGTTATCTGAGGCGTGATGTTGCGTTTGCGTTTTGTTCTAGTTTTAATTTTCATTGTAAAAGGTTTTACTTACCGCAAGAGAAGCATGGGGGTATGCGATAGCCCCGAGGTGATGGTTTCTCTGCTCTTTGGAAAAGGAGCGGGGTTCAGGCGTGAACCTCGTTGTTTGTATCAAAGGCATATGTGTTTTGAC